TATTACTACTACTACTACGACGACGACGACTACTACTTCTAATACTAATGCTGCTGCTGCTGCTGCTGCTGCTACTACTACTACAACTACAACAACAACAACAACTACTACTACTACTACCACCATTACTATTTCTATTACTATCACTATTGCGATTACTTTTACAATTACAATTACTTATTACTATTACTATTGCTATTGCTATTACTATTATTATTACTATTACTATTACTATCATTATTATTTTGATTGTTATTATTATTATCACTACTATCGTCGTCGTCGTGACCGTCACCGTCACGGTCACCATGATCGTCACGATCACTTGCGGAATCAAAGCCATCCTCACAAAGCTAGCTATAGTCGCGATGGTTTCAAAAGCAACAGTGCAGGTACGATGTGACACGCGGATATGCCAAATGGCTCCCAACTGGGGTTCTTCTCGGCCAGAACCTTGAAGGCGCATCGCAGTGGTTCACTGTTTTTTGTTCCTCAGGTGCCTCTGTGGTGGGGTTTGCTAGAAGCAGGACTCCGTGCGGGTAGCTTCATTCTGAACAGCACAACAACGGTGCTCGAGTCCACAAATCCCACGACACGAGAGTTCTGCTTCGGTTTTCTGCGTTTTGCTGCTTAACAGCTTCCCTTGCCCACCCAACCTGCTCCATTGTTGATTACACATGAGTGCGTCATGATAGGCATCTGGCACACCGGCGTCCTCGCGTTTGGCCGGGAGTACTGGTTTGGCGGCAAGGCTTGATGATGCTTTTTTTTCTGATGTCTTGTCAAAGCCACGGGCAAGGGTGACAGAAAGGAGACCTGTAGCCTCCTTGTCCAGGTACTGGCATCGGAGCCTGGCAAGGCACCATTTCCTCCCGGGCCAATCCGTTCCAAGCTGAGCCAGCCACCTGCCGCAATTCTGCAGTCTGTCGGACGTTGCGTTGCTTCAGGATGCTCTGATCTCGGCACCACGCTCCACACTAAGGAGGAGCATCTGAGAGTTGGACCGGTGCCTCGCTGTCTGGCTTCATTCGAAGACGTCAGGAACTGGAAGATTGGCTGCGCTTCGAGGTCGTTCCAAGGCCGGGCTTGTTGAAGAGCCGGGACCGAGGCGAGGATGGTGGCTTGTGTAGACAGGTACACACGTGACAACTACGACATCCTGTCGCATAATTGCCATGTCCCGAGAAGTGGCTCCTTCACAGCAGGATGCTCAGGAAGTCTGTCTCTTTCGCAGGTAACCACTTCTCCGATGAAGTTGTGGGCTTCCTCATCCAGGACTGGGTCCAAGCCGCGGCTCTTGTCGCGACATTGACAAGTCAACACGAAGGTAATCCCTGTCCTGGACAGAGCAATTTTGGTCGTGCTGGTTTGCCCGAGGGCGGCCACATCCCGGATGAAGCCAGACGCCAACCAGAGGTTGCGGAGAGAATGCACCAACAGATCCTTCGGAGTGTAGGCAAACACACTGGGGGAGGCCTTAATCGGCACATCTGGCATCAACGCTCTGCGACCGTGCCGGCCCCAGGCCTTCCAGGTCTCCACTCTCTGAGTGCGCAACGTTAATGCAGTGGCCAGGATCCTGAACTCCTGGCTTGGTGGCTTCGAGGTCACAGTGTTGCAGTTTGGGTGCAGTCGCAGAGGCGTCAAAGATTCATGCCATCCGTTCTAGCATTCTAGCCCCTTGCATACCTGAACTCTGCCGCACAAGAAGGCTTGACATCCTCGCATTCCGCTTTGGCATTTAATTCGATGTATTCCCGGTAGCTGCATCTTGAAATACTGAATCATGGCGACTGTCAGCCGGCCGGTGCTGATCCTTGGCGCAACCGGCGGGATCGGACTCCATCTGGTAAAGCAGCTCCTGGCAAAGGGTACACCCGTTCGTGCACTCGTTCGATCACCAGGCAAACTTCCGGATGCCGTCAAGGAAGATGTCAACTTTTCCATGGTCCAAGCGAGTGTCACCGAAGTTACCGACGAGGAGCTCGACTCCCACGTGCGGGGGTGTAATGCGGTGGTGTCGTGTCTCGGTCACGTGGAGGTTTTCGGAGAACCAAAGGATCTTGTTCTTCAAACAGCTCGACGAGTGTGTGAGTCACTCGGCAGGGTCCAGAGCGACGAGTCCGAGGTCAAATCCAAGTTTGTGCTCCTGAACACCGTGCTAGTGACCAACCCAAATGATCCCAGCGACCAGGCGCGCCATGGGTGGGCCTCTCGACTGCTCGTAGGAGCTTTGCACTGGGCACTGCCCCCAATGGTGGACAACACGAAAACGGCGCATTATCTCATTGACGACATCGGCCCTAGCCACCCCAAGGTTGAATACTGCATTGTCCGGCCGGACAGCCTCTCGGACAAGTTGCCAAACGTCTCCGGCTACGCGGTCCACGAGACATTGCAGAACGGCGTGTTTTCACCCATTGGAACATCCAAAGTTAACGTGGCGAACTTCATGATGCGGTTGGTTCTGGAGCAAGGGTACTGGGAAACGTGGCGCGGCAAAATGCCAGTTGTGGTGGATGATAATGCAAGTGGATAGCGCTAGTCAGACATCAAGATCATGAAACGTGAAGCTGAGCAAAACAGTGTGCTTGTGCTTCGACCAACGGCTTTCAAGAGGGCAGGCACGCTTTGCGATGCTGTACGGTCTGTTATCATGCCCAGTCCTGGTGCTGTTCAGGGCAGCTCTGCTTTGCTATCATGTCATCAAGACAGTACTTGTTGTGATCATTGCCACCACTTGGCATCAATGTTGTCGTTTTGTTGTCTGTACTGTTGCTCTAGCAAAGCCTGCTGTTGCTTTCCTAGAGGTAGATCCGCACTGATTGCACTATGTGCTGCTGGACAATACTTTTTGCTCTCACATCTAATTTTGCTTCTTAGGCTGTCAACAAGCACATGTTCTTTGGCTTAGTCAGTTTTGTATAGTGTTGCATGCATAAATTTTCAGGGTCCTGTGCAATAATGCATTCCTGTGCGTTGCCGTTGCGCTGGATCGATACCTGTGCGCAGCCTCTGCAATCACGAGCCTCTGCCCAGTTTGGCAAGGCCGGTTCGGATCGAAGCTCCGAGATCGACGATCTCACGGGCGAGTGGCGTGCTCGACTCTGGCCAGGCCCATTTCGAGTGCAATCCGTGCACCAGAAAACCATTCACGATTCCGAGACAGCCGAAAAGCGACCTAGTTTCCCAGATACCAGCACCGGGTTCGAAAGCCTTACCGCGGAACATCTGGGTTCAGGATAACAAGCCGAGTTGGCCCGTAGGGTGGGGTGGTAGTAGTTGTTGTTGCAGCAGCAGCAGCAGCAGCAGCAGTAGCAGCAGCAGCAGCAGTCGTCGCAGCAGCAGAAGGAGGAGGAGGAGTAGTAGTAGTAGTAGTAGTACTAGTACTAGTACTAGTACGCAGTAGCAGTAGCAGTAGCAGTAGCAGTAGCAGTGGTTGATGTTGTTGTCCTCGTAATAGAAGGAAGTACCAGTAATA